GGAGCCTTTCTGCTTTTAACTGAAGCCGCCAGTTACATACTTGCCCACGGTCTCAGGCCTGTGAATGCCTAAAGTCTGGAACTTTCAAACAGACTGAAAAATCCCACTGTCCCTGTTTCCAATGCCAATGCCTAATATTGTCTTGGGGGACAAAACAAGGAGCTATCAGCTCAGTTACACCCTAGTAAGCCAAGGGACGTGGAAGGATGGGTGGAGAAGCTCTGTCCCAGAGCTGCTACAGTTCCACAATTTGGAACCTCCCAAATACTTATCCTAGCAGTCACGCCTCCCTACTGGGGTTCTAAACTAGGAGCATAAAGCGATGGTGCATTTAAAGCAAAGGAATACACAAACAACAGAATCACAGATTTTGTCAGTCCCCAATAGCCAAACTCCATGTAAGAAAAATCTCAGTACTGAGACTATAACTGGGAAACTTCAGAGAACTCAAATATTTCTAAAATCTAGCAAATTAAGTTGAGAAAGGTTTAAAGTCCTTTGTCTATGTATGTGACCCAGAAGGATACTGGATTAAGCTAGCATGCTCAGCACGCTCTGGCCCTATAAATTAGCTAGAATAAACAGAAGATGAGTTATACAAGTTATATACATCAAAAAAAAGTTATACATCAAAAGCACTAAATAAAAGTTAACTATTATTATTTCCACTATTAAGATGTGTCATCCTTATTGCTACAAAGGAAGCAGGATGCCTGTCACAGAGCAGACTGGCAATTCATATTTTTGAATGAATAAATGTGACTATTTCATAGGTTAGAGTCACATGAAAGACAGCCCAAGAATGCTGATGCTGAATATACATTCTCTTGAAAGAATGTGATTATTAATGTCTGTTAAATATTTTTCAGAAATGTCATTTCAGAACAGTTAAGAAAAAGCAGCACAAGGTGCAGTTTAGAAGTACATAACTCGCATTCGTCATCTAATGTGTCGCTGTTGTGGACAGAGATTTTTAAATTGTTGCTCCAGTGTTATGTCTAAGGCAGACTGAGAATCACTAAACGCAGAGGTTTAGCAAATGTCTGTGGAAATGGCCATCAGTTTCAGAGAACCAGTGAGGTTAAATGCTAAGGTGCAGGAGAGCAGGGCAATTCCCTTTTTAATCACTTTTACGACCACCTAATAAAAAGTCTGGTGTAGCTGCATCTTGCTGTCCAGAGACAGAAGACCAAACTTCCTTTTTCTCAGTATTACTTCTAAATGGCATGTTCACATTCAAAGGTATGTATCTTGTGCCACGTGATATACAAATGGCAATTCTCACTTTATATCTAGGACTTGGGCTTGCAGCTGTTTCTCCTCAGGTGAAAACAAAACAGAATATAATCCAGTGTCTTAGAAATGTCAAAGCTGTGCTATGTTAGTGTGTGTGTGTGTGTGTGTGTGTGTGTGTGTGTGTGTAGGGAGGTACATAGGTGCATAGCAGATTAAAATCTCTCAGGAATATTAATCTAGACAGTTCTAGAAGGAAAACATTAAGCTGGCACAAATAATTTTCCTCATGGTTCTTTCCACAAAATGAAATCTATCCTGGTATCAAAATATATTTGCCTAGTGTTAAGCTGAGGGTAAACTACCATCAACATGACATGTTTTATTGTAAATCAGAATGTTTACTTTTGACTCCCTGTGTACCTCCCAGGTCCCGTCTCAAAGTTCTCATGACCACAGGCTTTCTTGTCCCCAAGCCAGGCTTCATTCGCTCCTCCCACCTTGCAGCTCAGAATACATAACATCCAACTTATCTAACCACATCCACTGAGAAAAGCAAAAGTAACAACAAAATGCTCAACCTCAGATCTATAATAAGCTAAGCATCTCCCATGTCTTAGGACATTTTACAAAAATAAACACAGGGTACAAAAACTTAATAAATGATGTCAATCTATTTGGGCAGATTTATGGCAGGAAAGCAGTAAGAGAAACAAAGGTATGAATTGTAAATCAAATCACTTATGGAATTTCTGGAGCTAGAGAAAATCTTGCAGACATTATCAAAGAGAAAACTACTGCACCCCCCAAGTAAGTTTTCACCTTACAATCAACACTTACTTAACAGTGTCCTCTTAGGAAAGGACGTGGGTTAGGCATTAGTCAGTATGTTGTCTTTCATCCCCAGAGTCACTGGCTCTTTCCTGTCCAAGGACACTAGAACCTAGGATGCTGGCACCTTCTAGGTCTAAGAACTAAGTCCACGCTGCACATCTGCAGCAAGAGCAGAGTCCTGCGAGTGCTGGAAGGCAGTTTGGTCAGAATCCCAGCAAATGCCCAAGGTGTCCACTCCCAGTCCCTCCTGACCACCACTCTGTAAAGGGAATCTACTTGCCACAGGGGTGGAATTTCCCTTCTGCAGACTGTTAAAGGACCCTATAGCTGTAGGTGCTACTGGGGTATCTTTTCATCTGGAACAAAACAACACCCTTAATGTTCAGGAAAATGTGTCTATGAAGCATGTGCTAGAAGTTCTCGCGAATGAGCCTCAATTCCACAGGGGGAAGAGTCCTTCTACCACTCAGTGTTTCCCAGAGGTAGGCCCCGTTTTGTATAAGACTGAGGCCATGTTTATTTGCTAGGCATCTTTCACCACAGCATCTTCATCACCAAATCTCAACTACAGGGGGAGAATGAGCAGTTTTGCCAAACTCAGCATATATTTTGGTCTCAGCCTTTGTGGACCTGTATTTCCCAGAGAAGCAAATGGAAATGGTTCATAATTAAAAACATTCTGAATTGAGTGTCAGATTCATGGATTCAATCTACAGAAACAAAAGATGACGCAGCAGAATATAAAATAACCCCCTCGTTTAGAGGATAGGTTGCATTTTTCTCATAATGTTAAATATTAAGTTAATATTAAGTATTTGCTGCTGCGAAACAGTGCTTAGCTTTTTGCACTTCTATTTTTTCAATTCTGTATAAAAGAGAGGAAGCTGTCATTACAGCTGATTACGGACTGCCCAGCCTCACCACTGAGCACTGCAAGGGGCTCTCCAGAGAGTAGGCCCGGGACCTCGGCAGGCCTCTACAGCCTTTCATCAGGATGTAACTCTAAAACCAAGTCCCGAATTTCATTTTGTCAGGTATTTAATGTTGTAATTGCCTATATTCAATTCATTCCCCATGATAACATTAAGTAAATTCACAATTATATTTATAAGCTACCATGAGGTGGAGTTCATTGGCTAAATGTTGATGCCATTTAACAATTAGTTCTCACTGCCTATATTAATAAATACGGGTACTGGTGTCCTCTAGCGCAGAGTAAATTCCTTAAAACGTTGCCTGAATTTACTTCCAAAATCATTGGGACATTTAGAAACATGAAGACATGAGACTCCAATACTGGCTGTTTACAAATATTTTAACTGAGTTCTTTAGAAAAGTTTATTTCTAGAACATTTTAAATTTTTAAAATGCTACTACTAACCAAGTGACATGTTATCTGAGTTGTCTGCAAAACCCAAAGTCCCTGAGGTAAGCATCACCTGCTTCATTATATCATCCTATTGATTTAACTGTGTTTAATTAATTTAAATTACTTTTATTCGATGGTTATAAATTCACATCCTCTCTACTCCGAAGGTAAGAGTGGGAGGAAAGAAAGTGATAAGCTAAAATGACAAAGAGTTTGCACTGAATTTCAAGAAATGGACAACTAATAGAGAAATTATTTTACCTATGGCTACAATTTACCTTAAAAGAACATAGATAGCTATTATTCGTAATAAACTTAATTCATTTGCTTCATTCTCTAATTACTCACAAATATCAGAGTAAAGCTGAGGGACTATAGCGCCGCAAACCTGAAATGCTTGGAGTTTCCATAAACAGTCCCACAAACGCCCACGAGCTTCCTTCCAAAGTATCTTCACCAGCATCACAACAGAAATACATCTTCAGAGTATCTCAATCGCAGAAACGTTCACAGTAGAGTCAGAAGGTTCAAGTTCAAAGGACTGATAGACTACTATTCATAATGACCTTTAACCTTCAATCAAATGCAAAACTTGAATTCCCTTGAAAATCGGGTGACACTAACACTCAGTGATGCTAAGTCACAGAATGACCTGACACCAGTTATAGGCCCCGAGGACAGCACTGGGGCAGGTTTATGCAGTGACCACAGGAGCAGATTCACGAGCAGATTCACGACACCCACTGTGTTGTACTTGAAACCAGCTGAGCATTATTAAAATGAGCTTGGTTTTAAATCTGGAAAACAGGGGCACAATCTGTATTTCAAGCTTTAGCTGCCCTTTACCAAAACTCACTCTAAAATAATCATGTCCAATAATTCATTTTTGTCTCATTTCCAAAAACCCTGATGGTAGGGGGAAATTTTTCACACACAAAAAAAAATAAATAAAAAAGTTAACCAGCGCCACAAAACTGGGAACAAAATCCTAATGCAAAATAACTCTCACATCCTTAGTTCCAGGTAAGGATTTCTGCTCATTATCACTATTCTCACTAAATGTGTGCTTTTTTATTTTGTTTTGTTTTGTTTTTTGGTATGGCAAGGGACAAAACATCTCCAAACCCTACTCTTATTTTTTTCTGGCAGCAAGGCGACATTTGCATGTTAACACTTCATGGCCACTGCCACTCGCCAAAGACTCCAAGATCTCACACCACCCTCACTTTTACTAGCATAAGGGCGCTCAGGTGAAAGTGGAACACTCAGAAGAGGAATCTAAAACACGGCAGCATGGAGCTGTGGGAGCTGTTTTTCTTTTGCTCCTTATCCCCCCACAACCCCCCACCCCCCACCCCACCTCTCCCCCAGGGAGACAAAGTGTAAAAGCTCTGCTCAGAATGAATCAGGCTTATTTTTTAAAAGTCACCAATGGTCAAGTCACTTTGCATTTCTGAAGGTTCTCGCTTCAGGTGCCAGTTGCTTGGGCCTGTGGAGCCCATTCCAACCTCACATCAGGGCTGCCCGAGTCGTCTTATTATTTATTACATGCTATGCTAAGTACCTGTGAAAGGGGGCACTCCTTGGCCAACGAACTCTGATTCATATCTTTCAGTAAGTCCTTCAGAGCATTCCTTACTGTGGTGTGCGACCATTGTTCAGGAGGCAGGTCTTCTAGTTTGGGGCAACTATTTGAGACATAGATTAGAAAGGGGATTATTACAAGATTGCATCCCGCTGCAGAACATTCCTTTAAGACAGACAGATTTCATTTTGCGCATCAAACAGATGCATCTGGAGATTGCTCTCGGTCTCCTGATTGTTCCGATTAGTTAATTACTTTATACAACACATCTGCTGTATCGATGCATGAATTATACATCAGCTGCCTGTGGTGGCTATTTTTTCACGTTACTTCTACCTTCCTGCTCTGATGCGCTTGGGAAGACAATTTAAGGTGTACTGCTTTCTCACCAGCCGTCATGAAAAGCATGAACGTATTAACCGCCTTCCTCTCACGACTCTGTTCGTACGAATTAAAATGGGGAAAAATATATAAATAAATGTGATCGTGGCAATAGTGAACAAGGCATTCTTTCACAAAATGTACACAGATGGCACTGCTCACGATACGCAAAAATATTTTTCTCTTAAGTAAACTTTATGTAAAATGCCTTCTTATAATGCATCATTTAATTGACTTCATGCACAAAGTCTTATCTTTTGATAACCCGCACAAACCTACACATTTGGAGGGGGGAGGAGTGGCTTCTAAATCACACACTAAAGTTAGGAAAATAAAGCAGAAGGTGTAGGTGGTAACCAAGTCAATTTGCATTAACATTTCTGAAACAGAGTTTAAAGAAAAAAAAAATTTAAAAAAAAAGGCTGACCGACATGCTTTACTTCAAAAGGCCAGTGAGGGAGAACGGTCAGCCCTAGAATCGCTGTCCTGACTCACCTGTGCAACTGAATTTTCAATGTGACCACATGATACACGTCTTGAAGCATATCTGCCACCGTAGCATCAGGGGCATCTGTCACGTAAGACAGTGGAACTGGATTCCACTTTCCGACCTGGATTAGCCCTAGTCCAGATAAAGAGAGTGTGTCACTAAATATTTCACCCTGCTGATAACAGAGCTAGTAGAAAGTCTTTTCTTCTTTCATTGCCCCCACCACAAGCAATATTGTTATTTCTGTCTGAATGATTCCCTTCCCTCTAAAAGGCAGGTCAATGAAAATATTCACAGCTTAGCTTTCCAAATTGAGAAATTATGTAAATGCCGGTAGGGTTGTTTATTATTTTGGAAATAAAACCCCATCAATAAAACCTATGCAGAGGCCACATTTTCCTAAGTTACAGGAAGTTCTAATAAGACATAGCTGAACCAGTTCTAAATAGCTTTACGATTTAGATAAGATTCCCTACTGCAATGGGAATCAGCATTGAAAAATACTTTACAGCCCATAAAACCATCAGAAACAGAATAAAAGAAACAGAACTAGATATTCAGTCATAAATGCAAATTGACTCTCAACAGTCCATCTGCTCAAATACGCTCCTCACTTCCTTGTGGGTCCTCAGTGGAGCAGATTATTAAGGTCAATAAGCATACTAATGATTCAGCTGAAGTAATTTAAAAAAAAAAATCTACCTCGACATTCCACATGAGCAAAATGTGTGTTAACTAAACCAAACTGAATTAAGCCAATTTTTTAAAGCCACAGTCTATAAGGAAGCAATGTAACACACTGCCTACAGTTCTTTGAATGAAAAATACTCAGTGCTTTCTCTGCAAGGTAAACAAAGGATGCCAAGCAATTTTTCCAACCCCACATCTGCGTTATTTACCTTTGGCCTGGGCAGCAGAGCTATGCGAATAACCCAGAGACAGCAATGCCATTTCTATCAGCTGGTTGAAAAGCATATCCTTTCTCACCAACACAAATTCTGCATGCTCCTCCTTGCAATCATATTCAATGGCGTTTTCATAATGTTCCACCACACAGAAAACTGGTAGCATGGTTCCTATCAAAAAGACAGAAAAAGAGACGCAAACCAACAATCTTCAGGAATACATAGAGTCGGGGTGTGGAGGGGGGAGAGGGAGGAAAAACTAAGGGATGAAAATAAATCTTCACAGCCATGAGAGAAGGGAGACTGTTTCCAAGGCAGACAGGCCACAGAGAGACAGGCACGCACACACAAAAATATACATTCTTTATTATCTTTAAGTTGAAGACAAATACTGAGAACGTGAACTTGGTCCTAAGTCACATAGGCTCTGCTTGCATTTTAACAGTGCATTTTCCAAAATTAATTCATGCAGAATTACCTCTCTGATCAAACAGTAGAGCTGACGACAGAGAAGTAAGTGTCCTGTCTGCTCTGCTGTGAGTGGTATTCAGTATGCAAACGTGACTACTGTACTTGTCTGCAGACAAACCCACCTTTGAGCTTCCCTACATGTTCTCGTTAATACTAAACTTTTCCATTCACATCCAAACAAATTATCTGGGACCCTAAAATTATTAGCACTTCCTTCCATTTTGAAAGACATTTACTTGACCGGTTCCATTAAAGAAACACAAAACTTAACCAAACTGATGCTCAAAATATATGATTTCAATATGTGCATAATACAGATAAAGACGATTTATTCTTACAGTCATTCATTTAATCTACCTGAGAAAAAAGATATCACCGTAACTATATGTCTTTAAAATGAACAATCTTAGTTCTCAAAAATGAGATACAAATGAGAGAGAGAGGGGGAAAACTGGTCTCAACAGGACATATGAGGATAAAGGAATCTGCCTCGATTCGATGTGTTCTCCCTTTATTTACTTTAATCCAACAGCCTAACTCGGTAGCTAGATGATTAATAAGCCCAGGCCACACCACTGTTAGAAAAGAGGCTTCTAGAAATTGCAATCACGGAATGCTGTGCTTCTCAAGGTGCGTATACGCAGCCAGCGCTCTGTCAGACTTCCAGTGATAAACGGAAAAGGGTTAAAAGCAGATGCATCTGAACTGCACTGTGGCAAACTGCCAGGAAGGTATCATCTTTAGCATAAATGATGACAAGGGTTACTTTAACAGGGCACCCAGGGTCCCCAATTAGTCCTCTAACATTAATGCCTCTGAACTCGCTGGATCCCACCAACTTCTGAAGATGCCTCGTGCATACCAACCAGAGCTAAAATTCAGGATTTCCTAGCAGAAGATGCCCTTTAAAAATGCTCCATTTGCTGGTTTGTGCTGAACAAAAGCCGGCAATAAAACAGCTACATTTTTCTACATGTGCATCTTCACCAAAGCTTTAGTGAACTGTTCACGAGAGATTCCAGCTCTGACAAATAAACCCCTTTAGGTTTACTTAGAAAAGCCCACAAACTCATTCAGAGAGACCCAACAGGCTAGGCATGAAAAACAAGTCGCAGAGCTTGCCAATATTCTTGTCATTCATTCAGCTGTTTTATACCAGAGAGAGAATCCATGAGGGATCAGAGGAAGACTTGGGGAGACCACAATAAAAATAGCAATATGCAAACTGATGATTTCTTCCTTGGCTTGAAGGGACTTTGGCAACATCTCTTAAACAAATAAACAAAACCATCCAACCCCTTTTACTTATAAGTCGTGCTTTCTCAGCTCAGTCACAATTTTTATCTGACACCTGTCAAACAGAAACCATGCACATGAAAAATAATATTAAAAAAAAAAAAAAAAACACTACCACCACCAAAAGGCTTTGGCAATTTTGTTGTTTGAAGTAAGCAGAAAACCTTTTACAATTACACTGCATTTTAAAAACAAGTCACTATGAATGCAATGCTAAAAAAAAAAAAAAAAAAAAGCATCTGAGCAGGAAGTGAAATTACTGTACTTTGGTTTCTCCTCCCCCTGTCCTGATGTCTTCAAAGAGTTGGGTTAGAACATGAAAAATATGAACCGTGATTTTTCTTCTTACAGGATTATAGACCGTGTTCCACTGTAAGCTGTTCCTCACACCTACTTCTGTAAGTTTTTCAATCTATTGAAATATATTGGACTTATTTTGGACTTTATTGATCAAGTTTAGAGGTACCGTGTAGATAATAAAGGAGGCTGCTGAAGTGACAACAGTGTCACTTAATTACCGATCTACTTGCTAAATCTTCTAGCAAACTGTCACAGTTGTCCTGATAGAGGAGTATTGCTGAGCAGCAGACTTCTCGCAACCGTCTGATTATTTGTGCTGGTGTTTGGTGAGACTTCCAACTACAGCAACTTCATAACCTTCCAGTATTAAAAGGGGAGTGCACTGGTCACTGCTGCATGCTAAAAATACCACATGATTTAAACCTGGAGGCAGTCTTAGAAGCTTTTGCTGAAGGTTTATGAGCCTGTGTAAACAGCACGTCTGCCATAAGGAGCAGTGAAGTCTGTAGAATCCTTGTCTAAAACTGTCCTGGCATTAAAGTTTGCTGTGCAAATATCACATAATACCAGAGACAGCTGAAATCTCCTATTTAGGAATTTATGGAACTTATATGTTTGCAGGCGTCAGAAAGTCTTTTTTATAGAGCCCCAGTGCTTCACAGTACAATATTAATGCACTCTGTTTGAAAAGCCGTAATAAATTATATTTTTAATGCTCTTACCCTGGCTTTCTTAAGATGCATACATTCTTGGCAAACAATCAATAAATAGGGTAATCATGAGTAGAGGCCAAAGAATTTGCTGAAGTGCTGTTTTTCCATTTTTAATAGATAAAGATCTAACAATACGGACTGCTGTGTCTGTTCATTTCAGGATCAATATATTCTTTGTTTTCGCCAAACCAAGGAAAAAATAAATGATTGTATGACAAATGTTATGCATCAAACACAATGAAATTCCTCTGCCTTCTAACTTTATCTACTTAATATTCTTGGTTGCTAAAAGATGGTATTTTTATCCTTTGCTTAGCAAATGTAAGGAAAATCTGAATCCTATACACAGCTCTTCAGTGACAAAATAAAGACTATTATGAGGCACACACATTATACTCGGGCAGGCACTGCTTTATACAAACAACAGCGTGGAACACCAAGTTGTTCGACTCCGTCAATTTAATATGAAACTGCTAGAAAGGCACCACCCAGCTACACAGTCTGCTTAAACTTGCCTAAGTCTGCTCGTCCTTTAACCAAAGTTATCCAATTTTAGCAAATATCAAAAATTAGCCTCATCAAGCTTTTCACTGCTAAATAATGAATATGCTCTTAAGGAAAAAAAGCCACAAAAAATGCTATCACAAAACTTTTCCATCATCTCACATAAGATTTCCATGATTTCTAACACTGCCTGACAACTAGTAATCCCATGAAAGAGCTGGCACGGTCCTCAAATAACCCAAGTGTCTTATGCTTAATCTGGGTTAGCTGAAGCCACAGCCACCTACACATCCTCTCTGCCGCAGTAACACCTTATCAAGGGAAGCCTTGCATAACCAAGACCAGCATATGCTACCCAGCCCTCATCATCCAAAATGTCCAGTGACTCCAGTCTCCAGAGGAGCAAGATGCTCCACTCAAGCACAGAATCTACACTTTCAAAACGTGGCTGACACTGCAGCCAGGATTGTCAGTAATTCAGATCAGAAAGGGAATGGAGGAAAATAACATACAGAAACCAGTTCTGCCTCTCCACCCCCACACACAGAGGCCTTGGATAGAATCAAGGGTTCGAAGGTGTCCAGGATCTGGCTTGAAAGTGCATCTTTATTTACCTTTCCTAAGGTTGGTTTTCATCAGATGGCCCGAGTGTTTTAAAGGCACTCCCTGCATTTTTGCACCTGTACTCCCAAGCCTTCCTCTTCCTAGCGGGCTCCCGTTCTGCTCCAGGCGGGCAATCTTGGCTGGTGGACCCTTCGGATCGCTCACATTGTTAGACATTTCTGAATGTTCTTTCCCCTGAGTTGCCTCGTTCAAATGATCCATACTCAGTTACCCTCTAAAGATCACCTGCCAGAATTAAAAAAGAAAAGACATGTTATAATTGGTGGGTCTCCATCTCTTTCTGCCTCTCTGTGCATATGTATATATGTAAAGAGACATACAGGTTCTACCTCTAGATATTTGTAAGATTGCTTACCTAGATATATAAATATAATGCAGATGTTACCATGTTTCTGAGAAACAGCATTAAAATTTCCATTCAAACTAAACTAGATATTTGTAAAAACTATACCAAAATACATAAATTAAAAATGTAACTATTCATCTACCAACAAAACTAAGGTGTGAGGGCTTACTTTAAGGGCAAGAATGACCAGAAGTATAATTAAAAAGGAAGTGAGAAGAATTTATATAGCCCCAATTTTTAAAAATTAGAAACTCATTACAATACACAATAGCAACACTTTAATCAAGGAGGGAACAATTATCACATGCCAACATGCTAGCTAAGTCTGATGTATGTGCTTACATTTTTCATAGTTTAATTTTTATGAGGGGAAAATATACATATGTCACTTCAAAAGAAGGAAGTCAGCACCTGCTTTTTAAACTCCCCACTGGCTTTTATAGGTTAATTTATAGAAAAAGTTTCCACTATCAAAGTTTCAGGAGTTATCTGACCTGTTAAACAAGTAGTAGTCAAGTCCTAGTTAACATGTGATTGGATCATTTTACCCCTAAGAAAGGGACAGAAGTAAGCAGTTTCTTCAAATACCCCACATACTGAAGCATTGTTACTCATGTGTTTGAGAATTAACATTTGAGCATCCCTTGGTAATAGGATGCTATTATAATAATTTTAACAGAAAAATACATGAAAAGACTTTGTGGCATACACATTAGATCCAAGTGTCAAACCTGCTACTTAAAAAAAGCTTCATGATTTTGATAAAACATAATCACCAGCACTCAAAAATAATCCCGATATGCAATGAAGTCAACGTCTTAATTAACTTCAACAAATTAATAGATATTCATTTTCAGTCATATTATACACTGGACATCAATTTTCACAGTTTATAATAAAGCAAAACTAGTACAGAATCAAAGTTACTTCTAAATTACAGATTTATGCAGCATGGGTAAGAACAGGTATTAGAACTCTTTTATGAACTTTCACGCTACTTTTAAGTAATGAGTTTATTGATAAAAGGATAAAGGGACATTTAAGAAATCTAGAGAGAGCGTGATTGTCAGTTTCTTCCAGCTGTCTGATAGTTCAACTTATACTTTTAAGCAAATAATTATGCCAAAGAAGCTATTAAGATCGGGACTTGCTGGAAGCAGCCTGTCTGTTGGGCCATTCTATAAACCATGTCTCCAGGTCTAACCAAAAATGACTCTGTCCCTTCTAATCACAAGGGAGTGGAATGGGGAGGAGCAGCCGTGGTAGTCTGTAGGTTTAAAAGCAAACTTAATACCAACTGGAGAAGTACAAACTTGGAAAAATAATGGGTACTCATCCTTGCACTGGCGGGTGGCACGCTCAGAACTAAAGGTTTACGGTGGATTCCAGGTCCCATCTGTTTTTGGTTATGAGGTTCATTAACAATAAATGTGCCTCTTTTAACCACTTTTTATCAAGATTACTCTTTTCCATTATATTAAGCTGCAGTCTAAAGCCAAAATTAGAGAGTGATGATTATTAACTTATTCAAAGCACTCTTTATACTGTTTCATATGGATTATAACACAGGGCTGTCTTTTCTGAAATTGGTTGCCTCACCCTGGAGCAGAAGATGAATTTGAAAACATGATTTGAAAAGAAAATACTTAAGCTTTGGGGCAATTTAAAGGGGGGGGGGGATTGGGGGAGTAAACAGCATCAAAGTTAATGCTACAAAACAAATTAAGTAGTCACGAGGCTTAACAGCATTATAAACTATACAGCAAATGAAACTGATAGATTATAATTTAGTTCATGTATTGGCAATCAAAACATCACACAGGTCATGCAAAACTGTCCTTCCAATACCCACCTATAAGCGACTATTAAACACTCAGTCATCTTGTAAAAGACTTTACATTATATAGCAAAATTACATGCACATAAAACACCCAATTTACTCATTTACTCTATGCCCAAGGCTAAAGTTCACCAAACCTCAGTTTGGAATTGCAAAGAGCAACAGCCACCGGGCCTTCCGACTGACAGCACTGGAACTAACTACCTTCTCAACAGATGCCAGGCTGAAGAGTTTCTTTTGAGTTGCACATTTTAAAACCCTTTTTAGTGCAATGTCTGGTTGGCACACAGAAAGCACACTACTTTCTCAAAATCCCATTTCCCTCCTCATAAACTAAGTCCCTATATGATAACTGCTGAATAAAACAGTGAACTCAGACGCAGCAATTATTTCCTTTAAAAAGAAAAAGAAAAGCACGAAATCCCGGTTTCAAGAACCTATTCTTTTGCGATGTGGGACCGTTTTCAATGAGTTCCTTGCTGGTTGGCCTCCCTCGCCCCCACAGAACCCCATAATCACATTTTAAGAGATTGTGCCCTTATCCATTCCATATGGCCGGAACGATCCAGGCCAAGCTTTCACTGTGACCTTTTAAAGAGACAAAGAAGCAAAGTACTATCTAGAAACAGAAACACTGCAGTTTTACTGAGTGAAATTAGCAAAACCGACCTGAAACTCACCACTTCAAAACTTGACAGCATATAAATAACAATAACAAAGGAGATTTCCTTTGCAGCCCGGGTTCTTGAAGAGAAGTTCAAGACTGATGTTTTCTATGTCCTTTTTTTTTTTAATTAAGAAAAAAAAAAAAAAAAGGCAGCAGACCTGAAGGCGACTTCCCCTGAAATTGTATTATTTTCTCTTCCCCTACCCCCGCTCCCCTAAGCGGGGGAAGGGCAGAAACGAACGTCTAGAAGAGTAGCCATGGGAGAGGGGAGTTAAAAAAATCACCATTCGAAAAACAACATATATGGTTTGTAAAATGTCTAACCTCGGAGAACGGGGCTTTCGATGGGGGAGGAGGGGAGAGTGGGAAGGAGGGAGGAGGGAGAAGATAAAATTGATCTGACAAGTGATTCGTTGGGGGGGGGATCGTAAAAACAAAGCAAAACCCCGTTATGAGCTGTACACTGTGGTGGTGCTGGGGAGGCGAGGTGGTGACTGAGGATTCTCTTAAAAAAAAAAAAAAATCACTGCGGACCAGGTCTCCAGAAAGGGAGAGAGGGGGGGAAAAAAGGTCCCCTCGCTTCCCTCCCTCCCTCCTGCTCGCCCGGGTTCTCCGGTGAGGACAGAAAGTCTACTTCTGGCTGTCACTTGCAATATTGTTCTCCAGAAACCCCGGAGAACACAGAAGGGGAAGGCCACCTCGCCGCCCTTCCGATCGCCCCCAGCCCCCTCCCCGACAATTGCGACTAATATTGACAAACCTTAAACTTTCTTCCCACAGCCTCGCGCCCCCCACGAGGGCATCTACCGGGGGACAGCAAGGGTGGGGGGCAGAAGGTCACGAGAAAAACCCCGGAAAGGCACTAAGATGCCACTTTTGATTCGGCCCTCGCTGACAACAGCCCCGAGGACCCTCTCCCAGCCCATGGACGCGAGGCGGGGAGCGTCTGGGGAGCCGAGAGAGTGCGGGAGAGAGAAAGAGGGTGGGGGGGAGGGGAGGGAATCAGCAGGCACCCCCAGCCACCTCCGCCGCCTCCGCCGAGACAAACTCCCCGCCCCCTCCCCCCCAAAAGTCGCCGAGCTCTCACTCCGCCCGAGTCCGAGGTAAACAAGGAGCACCACAATGGCACTTGGACTTGGGGGTGCGGGGAGAAACCCGGAAACCCCCACAAAACTGATGAGGAGTTTCCCGAAAGGAAAGAGGGGAGTGGGAAGCGTCCCCCGGAGTGGCCCGGGCTGGAGGCTCGGTCCCGGGCCGGCTAGAGGGCGGCTGTGGCTGTTGTTGTTGTGACGAGGCCGGTGGTTGCCGGGTGGCACGGGGAGAGGTGTGTGTGTGTGTGTGTTGGTGAGTGTGTGCGTGCGTGTGAGCGCGAGTCCCCGGACGGGGCTGCTCCTCTCTCTCTCCCTCGCTCGCTCTCTCTCGCTCTCCCCCTCGCTGCCGTCTCTGCCCCCATTAAATCATGAGTTGACTCATCCCGGCCGCTGTCGCCGCCGCCGCCGTGCCCAG